GAATCAATGCCAAGGCTGCCATCGGTCAGCCTTTCATTGATTCCTCATGGGCGGCGAGGTGCAGCGACGCGCCCCACACAACGCCGCCCCCTCCCCCCCGCCGCTATACAAAGCAGCACCTCCCTCGTCGGGGACGCACCCGCCCGCAGCCCCCCTCTCTCCCCATGCACAGCCGCCGCGGCCGAACTCTTTCCACCGCAGCAGATGATGGGCGAGAGGTTCCCCGGCGACGGGGCGACGGCCAATGGCTTCGGCCGCCGCTCGCTGCATGAGTGGGAAGCCCACCTCCTGCATGAAGCAAACATCCCGGCGCCGGAGTAGGCCGTCGGCAACCACCAGGCGTGGTGTGACGATCATACACGCAAACGTGTATGATCAGGATCAGAGACTCACGGGAAGATATCACAACACAACTGTAAACACAAATGAAAGTCATACAAACTTCATATTACAAGCCAGGGGTCTCGAGGGCTCGAATACATAGCTCGATACATAAGCGAGTCAGCGGAAACAACAATATCTGAGTACAGACATAAGTTAAACAAGTTTTGCCTTAAGAAGCCTAGCACAAAAGCAACAACAACCGAAGAGGCGAGGCCTCCTGCCTGGGACCTGCGCGCGGCAGGGGCGAGCGGGGCCGCGGGAAGCGAGGCGCGGGCTTGCCGGGGGCGCGGCAAGCGAGCGAGCAGAGGCGGCACGGGAGGCTAGCGGAAGCAGCATCAGTCAGCGGCGGAGCTAGCAGCAATGGGGAGGGACACGGGCGGCGCGCGGCGGCCAGGGGAGCAGAGACCAGCAACAACAACAGTTGAGCAAAGCAGCGGGAGCAAGCGGGAGAGGGCGACGCAAGCGTGTTCGGAGGCGTGCTCGGACGGCGGCTGTACACGACGGCTATGACAAGGGGAGCAGAGGAGAAAGAGGGAAGGGGACGCGCGGCTCACCGGGAGCCCATAGTTGTGCAAACCGTGCTCGAGGAAGGCTCGGTGTGGCCGATGGTGGAGAGCGACGACAGCGATGGCGACAGTGAGGACGACGTGACGGGCGACGACGGGTGGCGCGGTGGCCTCAGGCGCAGAGGTGAGGGGCGCCTAGATCCAGGGGGAGGCGAGGAGGAAAGAGGAGTGGCCGGGGGAGCTAGGGTTGGGTTCGGGCGCCGGGAGGGAGTACATGTAGGCAGGGGGGTGCGGTGGATGGG